CAGGCCCAACGGGCCAACCGGAAGTTTGGAAACGATCAGTTTCTGGCTTCCAGAGGGCATCGGGGGGGAGGGGAGGCTGTTTTCGCCTTCCCCAAGCTTCAGGAAAGACTCCAGAGCCTGAGGGTGAAAACTTCCCCCCCCCATGTGGGGGGGGTCATGTATGCATGCACAGGTGGGTGGGGCACATTTCATTGTGGGTGTGGGCACGCACAAACGATTTTGGCACGCCTTTACAAAAAGGTTCGCCACACTGAACTAGATGAACTACATTCTGTAAATGTACAACTGTTCATTCAAGGACCACTTGAGAGACAAGTTATTTGTTCATCTTTATCTTAAGAGACAAGTTGTTTATCTTCATCTTAATCTCTGTGAATAAAATATTGTAACTATGTACCAAGTACCAAGCTTATTTTAAGTTGTGGTCCTCTTTAGGAGAGAACCAAAGACAATACGTTTCTCTTGAAGGAAACACTTAGTTATATGTGGATTTTCAATTTGTAATGCAGTGTGATCTGTTTATACAGAGGATGTGATAGAGTGGGAACTTTCATTGTCTTGTGCAGGCATCAAAGACTACAAAATGATGGAATATCTATCAAAAAAGCTAAAGTTCACTAAGATTGTTGTCTTATGTATTTTAATACAAGAGAAGCTCAGGAAAGAAAAGAAGGGATGCTAGGGAGAAAAGCAATTTAAGTACAATGTAGATTATGTAGAAATCCTTGTTAGTATTGAGCAGGTGAAGATAACACAGAATCTCTGCAAAGGATTTTCTTGCAGGAAGTACTACTACGATAATAGTTTTTCAATGTTCTTTGACATGGATGTTGTCTTAATTTTCCAGGACAGCAGATCTTCTCAGAGAGGGAGTTGCAAAACCACTTCCCTATAAATCTGCAGAAAAGCTGTGAACCAGGATGGCTTGAGCAACACTCGTGGTATTGTATAGAGCAGCGATGGCTAACCTTTGTGTTCTCGCATGACAAAAGTGCGTGAACGCGATAGCATGCCCACACCCATAACGCAGTGCACGCATGACACCCCTCCGTGCCCCCTGCCCCTCTGTGCATGCGTGTGTGACCTCCTCGCGCCCCGTTTTGGGCCTAGCAGGCTTCCCTGCAGTCTCCTGGGACCAAAAATGGGCTGCAGGATGGAGCTGTACCCTCTCATGTTTCCCCCCACATGCACACCTGACTCCCCGTCCCACGCATGAGCGTGCATTTTTTTTTGACATCCCCAGGCACAGCATTACGTCAAGCAGCTCAGGCCACTCAGGTTTGTCACAGGTGGAAAAGGAGTGTCAGTGACAGGAAGGCCTTTGTCTTTATTGTAGAGGATGGGGTCATATGGCTGCCAAGTGTCCTACGAAGGTGAAACTGCCAGTGGGAAATGCCAAGAAGCCCAGCCTAGAAGGCTTAATAGGTCACGTTCACTGGCAGTGGGCCAGTCTCAGTAATCAAGTAATTAAGCCTTCCGTTGCAATTATCGGGGGCTTAATGAAACCCGGTCCAAAACCATTATCCCTTGGCCCCCAATTTCTGAGTAAGTGGAGAAGTTGTGGCAGGCCAAGATCTTTATGAACCTGAGAGGAGCCTACAATTTAGTGCAAATCTGCAAGGAGAATGGATGAATGGAAAACAGCCTTCTGGCCATTTTCAGTACACGATCATTCGCATTCACCAATGCCCCTGGGGTCTTAATGTACTTTATGCAAGATGTGTTCCAGACCTACTGGACCAATTTGGAGTTATATACTGTGACAATCTTTTGATCTACTTCCCACTGCGGAAGGAGCAATGGGACCATGCGCACATGGTGCTACAGTGTCTCTAGGAACACCAGCTTTTCACAAAGCATGAGCATTTACCAATTTGTACTAACCACAATTTACATGATCTGTATCACCAGATCTCTCCAAAGGATGTTGACATGACGTCAAAACCTATGCTCAGACCCCCTGACCCCATGTAATCTTTTGTTGTTGAGACTGACGCATCAGATATTGTAGTGGGGGCAGTATGATTGCAAGCTGCTGCACCATATAGAAGCTTATTTCCTTGTGTCTGTTAATCCCATAATTTAAACTCAGTAGAGAAGCCCTACACCATCTGGGATAAAGAGCTTCTAACAATGAAGCTAACCTTTGAATTATGGAGAAATCAACTCAAAGGAACAGCATCAGATTAAAGTCCAGATGGATCATAGAAACTTGGAACATTTAAAGACAGCGCAGAGGCTTAAATATTAAGTTCTAATGGTCACGGTTCTTCATCCGTTTTAACTTTAAGGTAACATATTCCAAGTGAACGTAATCAGCAAGCAGACAGGGTCTCAATGACTATGAATACGCTTGTGCAGATGGTAAGTTCTTGCCTCAGTCTGTCATTCCTGACAAATTTGCAGTTGATCAAGAGCCTGCGGACTGGAGGGCATAGATTTGGGATGAGCAACAGTGAGACCCTTTTATGAAGACACAGTGAAGGGAGTTACACCAGGGGACAGCCTAACCCTTGGTCATGTGAGGACAACACATTCTACTTCTGCAGGTGTGTTTTGTCCCTGCAGGTCCACTACAGGGGCTCTTTCCACATCACGGTCATCACAACCCAGCAACTTTAAGACTCTTCATTTGGTTTTGTGGATCTTTTGGTGCCATAATGTGAAAGGGTATATGGTTTCTTGTGTGGAGTGTTCATAAACCAAAAACAGTACTAGTGCCACTCCCAGATTGTTACAGTCCTTGCCACCCCCTTAGAGGTTCTGGGGCGCTGGTTTGTTTGATTTTATTACAGATTTTCTGGATTCCAAGAGATATACAATGATCTTGATCTTAGTCAATATGCTGACCAAAATAGCCCATTTCATCCCATGCCAGACTTCTGACAACATAGGAAACCATGCAACTATTCATCCAACATATATTTCAGTTACATGGGTTACCCGAGTCATGGCAGATCACATGGTTCAGTTCACAGTCCCGTTCTGACAGGCACTGCTCCAGAAAATGGAAATCCAGGTCTACCTTTCTTCTGCCTATCATCCAGAGAAGGATGGATACACAGAACGAATGAATGCAATCCTGGAACAATATTTCTACTCTTTTGTAAGCTTCCAGCAAGACAACTGGTTGGACTTGTTGGCAGTGAATTTGCTTATAACAATTTTCAGCATGCCTCAACCCTTCCTGGCAAATGACAGATTTCAACTGTACCTTTTGTCTCTAGCGCTGTTGGGACTCTCCTGTAATTGCTGTGATTAGTTTCCTCCAGGAATTGATTACTTTGCACCAAATTGTAAAGCATCAGTTAAACAAGGTGAAGGAGGATTGCAAATGGTTTGCTGACCACCTGTCAACTTGTAAAAGTATTTTAAAAACTCCACCATCAATGCGTCATCCCATCTTTGGCCGTCAGATTCAGGTTTGGCTATCCACCCAGCATCTGCCTACTTTGTGGCCGTCCAAGGAGTTGGATCAGTTTCTTGGGCCCCTTTGCTATAGAGGCGGTCATACATCCTGTGGCGTTCCATTTGAAACTACTTCCTTGCCTGTGGGTTCACCCTGTCTTTCACCAATTGTGCAAGTCCCTTCTGTCCTGTGGCACCACTACTTGCACATGTCACATTACAAGATCAGCTGGAATATGAGGTGATGAATATCATGGACTCTTGCTGGTTTTGTGGCCACCTGTAGCACTTGGTTAATGGGCAGGCTATAGCCTTGAAGACTTCTGGGAAGATGCTGAGAATATCCATGCTCCTCACTAAATCCATCAATTCCACACTAAGTACCAACAGCAACTGAACCCACAGTCACCCGGGAAAGAGGGCCATGCAGGGGAGTAGTGTTATGTCTCCACCTGAGATTGGGTCTGATGAGAATGAGCCAGAGCAGAGCCATCAGAAAGGGGTGACATGGGACTTCTGGAGACTATGAAGTGTGCTGTTGTTGACAGGGAGGCACTTCTGGTTAATGTCAGGGAGAGGGATGAGAGTTTGATCAAATGAACAGCTGCCATGCAAGCAGAAGAACAAGAGATTGGCAAGGCATAGTGGCAACAGATTAATTAATGAGGAACAGATGCCACCCCTACCCAATCTGCAGACAAGGCTGAACCATGAGAAGCACAGTGGAGATTAATGAAGCTATGATAAGAAAGCAACCTTGTCCTTAACAAGAAACACTGGCTGGGAATGACTTAAGCTGACAGAGAGGATTGGTTGGTTGTTGGAAACAACTGTTTGCAATTTATTTCATTTGTGCTCTTGACTTCCTCTTGCCTTAAACCTCTTGACTTCCCATTGACTTTGTTGTCCCTTGAACTTGTGGAACTGAGTTTGCCTGTGCTGTGCTTCAAAACTGGAGAGTTGGGGTGATTTACCTGGCTAATGTTTCTCCTGCCCCTATGCCTTAGAAGCAAAGAGGACTGTGGTTTGTTGGAACAGATTTCTGAAGGACTGCACTTGCAACTGGGACCTGGAAATGACAAAGGGGCTTAACCGGTGAAATAAATATGTTGAAACTTGTGTGTGTGTGTGCGTGTTTGCGCGCATTTTCATGTGTGGACACAGGACACCATATTTCTACACAGAGAATCCATTTCTAGGTTCCTTTGGAGCCGAGGCTAATTTATAGCTATTTATTCAGAGTGAAATGCTCTAGTCCTGGAACTGTACTATGCTCTTTATTTACCACTATCACCTATAATCACAGGGCCATATTTTGAGCACCAGGCAACTGGATTGTCTTTACAATTGGTTTCAGCATCCTGTGGTCATATGACTATAATCTGCAGGGTTTTTTTTTCATTTGCCAGCAAAAAAAGTCCACTTGGCATTTATAACTATGGTAATTCCTCAATGACTGCCACAAAAAATATTGTAAATTTGGGTTTGGTCATCTGAGTATTTTGACTTACAACTGAAAATCCAGCCCCAATTATGGTCCTAAATTGAAAATTAGCTGTAATGGAAACTGGATACCCCGTATGTTACTAAGTTTGTTAGACAACATCTTCTGAAGAAGTGTGGATGCTGTTTCTTGCTTCACTGATTCAGGAGAAGGGTGCAGATGTTTCACACTATTTTGCAAACTGGGTACAGCCTATCTGTCTGCAGTTGATAAAGTTTTATATATATGTGAAGGTTTCTAAATAACCCAGAAGCACTATTGATTAAAAGAATTACAACAATTTACTGTTTTGAAATTTATATTTTTTTATAATGAACTATTAGTCGCTTAAAATCAATGTGAGCATATACTGAAAGCTGTAAAGGATAAAGGTTCTGCATGTTAGAGAAGTTATTCACACTGCACCAATGAAAATCAATAAAGTCTCATCTGACAGGATTAGTGAATTCTTAACAAATCAAGTAAGACCGTTCTTCCTTCCACCTTCAACAAAGATGCTCAACATAAAGCTTTAAAAGCGTATTTTTTTAAAAAACAACAACATTACCTGTGGGGAGAACATGTATGGTAGCTTGTGAGAGGCCACTTGTTGGCAAACCAGCTTGTTGGAGAGGGGTTGTCTGTACTTGATGCAAGGGGCGAGCAATAGCTGGGACTGATAGGCCCATTCCAGAGTTGTTAGATTGGTTCTGGTTCTGCTTCTTGCCATCTGTTGGAATATAAAGCCAATACAGAAAAAGTATCTGGAAAAATGTCTAGTATTGTTCAAATGCAAGTAGTCTGGAGAATATTTGCCATTCATCTTCAATTTTTTTGTTTTTTGTTTTAAATAAAGACATATATTCTGATTATTCTGCATAGTTTGTTGGCCTCCATCTTCAATCTTTTATGCCAAACCATTCCCTGTAGTATGAATAATAACTGAGATCAGTCAGGGTTCTCTGACATAACTATTGCCATTCATATTAGATAATGCTATTAATCTTCAGGAATAGAAAAAAGGAGGAGAAATTTGCTCGATGAACAGTCTGTGTCTCTTCTTAATGAAAATGGTTGAGACAGCGCTTAGGCTTCAGGCTCCAAAAGGATCCCGGAAGGGATGGATTTTTCTAGACCCAATTCAGTTAGGCTTCAGGCTATGCTTCAGTACAGAATCAGCACTGGTCCCATTTGCTGATGATCTATGACACATCCAGGATGGAGGTAGCGCATTTATCATGCTCTTTGATCTCTGTTTATTCTGATGTCATCAATTATGGTATTCTTATGGATTGGCTGAAACATTCGGGAGCAAGGGGTACCATTATGTGGTGGTTCTCCTCCAATTTGTGGCCAACTTCAATTAGTGTCAACAGGCTATGTGGAGAGATCAAGTGCACAATGCCTCACTTGTGGGTTACTGCAGGGCTCAATGGCATTACTCCTTACTAACATTAACATGAAACCTCTAGGTAATGCCATATGTCCGTTTTGTGATAATATCTCAACTATAACTCAATCCCAGGCCAACAAAGTGATTCTGTCAAAGTCCTCTCTCAGTATCGGGAGGCGATGTAGATTTGGATGAGGAAGAATAGACCCAGGTTCAATCAGGACAAAATCAAATGGCTGCAGATATATATTTGGGCCTTTAGGCCCATCTTTGGACCCTGCTTGAAGAATAGATGACAACTGTGATAAAGATTGCACAGATGTCTTTAGAGTGCTAGCTGTGCCCTTATCTGGAACAGAATGCCTTCAGACAGTTGATCACCTCATTTAGATAGTCACTTGATTACTCTCATGAATTCATTACTGTAATGTTATCTATATGGAACTGCCCTTGAAGACTTCTTGGGAGCTACAGAATTCATTGGCATAAACAACGATGGACATTCCTCATTATGCATATGTGACATTATTGCTTGTACGGTGTGCTAGTTAGAGGTTGGCTTCTAAGTGTGATTCAAGATACTGGTTATCTTCTATTAAGCCCTGTGCATGTACAGGTAGTCCCTGAGGTATGACCACAATTGAGTCCAAAATTTCTCTTGCTAAGTAAGACATTTGTTAAGTGAATTTTGTACCATTTTATGATTTTCTTAAGATTCACTTGTTAAATGAATCACTGCAGTTGCTAAGACAGGAACATGGTTNGATCTTTTGGTGCCATAATGTGAAAGGGTATATGGTTTCTTGTGTGGAGTGTTCATAAACCAAAAACAGTACTAGTGCCACTCCCAGATTGTTACAGTCCTTGCCACCCCCTTAGAGGTTCTGGGGCGCTGGTTTGTTTGATTTTATTACAGATTTTCTGGATTCCAAGAGATATACAATGATCTTGATCTTAGTCAATATGCTGACCAAAATAGCCCATTTCATCCCATGCCAGACTTCTGACAACATAGGAAACCATGCAACTATTCATCCAACATATATTTCAGTTACATGGGTTACCCGAGTCATGGCAGATCACATGGTTCAGTTCACAGTCCCGTTCTGACAGGCACTGCTCCAGAAAATGGAAATCCAGGTCTACCTTTCTTCTGCCTATCATCCAGAGAAGGATGGATACACAGAACGAATGAATGCAATCCTGGAACAATATTTCTACTCTTTTGTAAGCTTCCAGCAAGACAACTGGTTGGACTTGTTGGCAGTGAATTTGCTTATAACAATTTTCAGCATGCCTCAACCCTTCCTGGCAAATGACAGATTTCAACTGTACCTTTTGTCTCTAGCGCTGTTGGGACTCTCCTGTAATTGCTGTGATTAGTTTCCTCCAGGAATTGATTACTTTGCACCAAATTGTAAAGCATCAGTTAAACAAGGTGAAGGAGGATTGCAAATGGTTTGCTGACCACCTGTCAACTTGTAAAAGTATTTTAAAAACTCCACCATCAATGCGTCATCCCATCTTTGGCCGTCAGATTCAGGTTTGGCTATCCACCCAGCATCTGCCTACTTTGTGGCCGTCCAAGGAGTTGGATCAGTTTCTTGGGCCCCTTTGCTATAGAGGCGGTCATACATCCTGTGGCGTTCCATTTGAAACTACTTCCTTGCCTGTGGGTTCACCCTGTCTTTCACCAATTGTGCAAGTCCCTTCTGTCCTGTGGCACCACTACTTGCACATGTCACATTACAAGATCAGCTGGAATATGAGGTGATGAATATCATGGACTCTTGCTGGTTTTGTGGCCACCTGTAGCACTTGGTTAATGGGCAGGCTATAGCCTTGAAGACTTCTGGGAAGATGCTGAGAATATCCATGCTCCTCACTAAATCCATCAATTCCACACTAAGTACCAACAGCAACTGAACCCACAGTCACCCGGGAAAGAGGGCCATGCAGGGGAGTAGTGTTATGTCTCCACCTGAGATTGGGTCTGATGAGAATGAGCCAGAGCAGAGCCATCAGAAAGGGGTGACATGGGACTTCTGGAGACTATGAAGTGTGCTGTTGTTGACAGGGAGGCACTTCTGGTTAATGTCAGGGAGAGGGATGAGAGTTTGATCAAATGAACAGCTGCCATGCAAGCAGAAGAACAAGAGATTGGCAAGGCATAGTGGCAACAGATTAATTAATGAGGAACAGATGCCACCCCTACCCAATCTGCAGACAAGGCTGAACCATGAGAAGCACAGTGGAGATTAATGAAGCTATGATAAGAAAGCAACCTTGTCCTTAACAAGAAACACTGGCTGGGAATGACTTAAGCTGACAGAGAGGATTGGTTGGTTGTTGGAAACAACTGTTTGCAATTTATTTCATTTGTGCTCTTGACTTCCTCTTGCCTTAAACCTCTTGACTTCCCATTGACTTTGTTGTCCCTTGAACTTGTGGAACTGAGTTTGCCTGTGCTGTGCTTCAAAACTGGAGAGTTGGGGTGATTTACCTGGCTAATGTTTCTCCTGCCCCTATGCCTTAGAAGCAAAGAGGACTGTGGTTTGTTGGAACAGATTTCTGAAGGACTGCACTTGCAACTGGGACCTGGAAATGACAAAGGGGCTTAACCGGTGAAATAAATATGTTGAAACTTGTGTGTGTGTGTGTGCGTGTTTGCGCGCATTTTCATGTGTGGACACAGGACACCATATTTCTACACAGAGAATCCATTTCTAGGTTCCTTTGGAGCCGAGGCTAATTTATAGCTATTTATTCAGAGTGAAATGCTCTAGTCCTGGAACTGTACTATGCTCTTTATTTACCACTATCACCTATAATCACAGGGCCATATTTTGAGCACCAGGCAACTGGATTGTCTTTACAATTGGTTTCAGCATCCTGTGGTCATATGACTATAATCTGCAGGGTTTTTTTTTCATTTGCCAGCAAAAAAAGTCCACTTGGCATTTATAACTATGGTAATTCCTCAATGACTGCCACAAAAAATATTGTAAATTTGGGTTTGGTCATCTGAGTATTTTGACTTACAACTGAAAATCCAGCCCCAATTATGGTCCTAAATTGAAAATTAGCTGTAATGGAAACTGGATACCCCGTATGTTACTAAGTTTGTTAGACAACATCTTCTGAAGAAGTGTGGATGCTGTTTCTTGCTTCACTGATTCAGGAGAAGGGTGCAGATGTTTCACACTATTTTGCAAACTGGGTACAGCCTATCTGTCTGCAGTTGATAAAGTTTTATATATATGTGAAGGTTTCTAAATAACCCAGAAGCACTATTGATTAAAAGAATTACAACAATTTACTGTTTTGAAATTTATATTTTTTTATAATGAACTATTAGTCGCTTAAAATCAATGTGAGCATATACTGAAAGCTGTAAAGGATAAAGGTTCTGCATGTTAGAGAAGTTATTCACACTGCACCAATGAAAATCAATAAAGTCTCATCTGACAGGATTAGTGAATTCTTAACAAATCAAGTAAGACCGTTCTTCCTTCCACCTTCAACAAAGATGCTCAACATAAAGCTTTAAAAGCGTATTTTTTTAAAAAACAACAACATTACCTGTGGGGAGAACATGTATGGTAGCTTGTGAGAGGCCACTTGTTGGCAAACCAGCTTGTTGGAGAGGGGTTGTCTGTACTTGATGCAAGGGGCGAGCAATAGCTGGGACTGATAGGCCCATTCCAGAGTTGTTAGATTGGTTCTGGTTCTGCTTCTTGCCATCTGTTGGAATATAAAGCCAATACAGAAAAAGTATCTGGAAAAATGTCTAGTATTGTTCAAATGCAAGTAGTCTGGAGAATATTTGCCATTCATCTTCAATTTTTTTGTTTTTTGTTTTAAATAAAGACATATATTCTGATTATTCTGCATAGTTTGTTGGCCTCCATCTTCAATCTTTTATGCCAAACCATTCCCTGTAGTATGAATAATAACTGAGATCAGTCAGGGTTCTCTGACATAACTATTGCCATTCATATTAGATAATGCTATTAATCTTCAGGAATAGAAAAAAGGAGGAGAAATTTGCTCGATGAACAGTCTGTGTCTCTTCTTAATGAAAATGGTTGAGACAGCGCTTAGGCTTCAGGCTCCAAAAGGATCCCGGAAGGGATGGATTTTTCTAGACCCAATTCAGTTAGGCTTCAGGCTATGCTTCAGTACAGAATCAGCACTGGTCCCATTTGCTGATGATCTATGACACATCCAGGATGGAGGTAGCGCATTTATCATGCTCTTTGATCTCTGTTTATTCTGATGTCATCAATTATGGTATTCTTATGGATTGGCTGAAACATTCGGGAGCAAGGGGTACCATTATGTGGTGGTTCTCCTCCAATTTGTGGCCAACTTCAATTAGTGTCAACAGGCTATGTGGAGAGATCAAGTGCACAATGCCTCACTTGTGGGTTACTGCAGGGCTCAATGGCATTACTCCTTACTAACATTAACATGAAACCTCTAGGTAATGCCATATGTCCGTTTTGTGATAATATCTCAACTATAACTCAATCCCAGGCCAACAAAGTGATTCTGTCAAAGTCCTCTCTCAGTATCGGGAGGCGATGTAGATTTGGATGAGGAAGAATAGACCCAGGTTCAATCAGGACAAAATCAAATGGCTGCAGATATATATTTGGGCCTTTAGGCCCATCTTTGGACCCTGCTTGAAGAATAGATGACAACTGTGATAAAGATTGCACAGATGTCTTTAGAGTGCTAGCTGTGCCCTTATCTGGAACAGAATGCCTTCAGACAGTTGATCACCTCATTTAGATAGTCACTTGATTACTCTCATGAATTCATTACTGTAATGTTATCTATATGGAACTGCCCTTGAAGACTTCTTGGGAGCTACAGAATTCATTGGCATAAACAACGATGGACATTCCTCATTATGCATATGTGACATTATTGCTTGTACGGTGTGCTAGTTAGAGGTTGGCTTCTAAGTGTGATTCAAGATACTGGTTATCTTCTATTAAGCCCTGTGCATGTACAGGTAGTCCCTGAGGTATGACCACAATTGAGTCCAAAATTTCTCTTGCTAAGTAAGACATTTGTTAAGTGAATTTTGTACCATTTTATGATTTTCTTAAGATTCACTTGTTAAATGAATCACTGCAGTTGCTAAGACAGGAACATGGTTGTTAAAGCTGTTTTCTTTATTATACAATACAATACAATAGCAGAGTTGGAAGGGACCTTGGAGGTCTTCTAGTCCAACCCTCTACCTAGGCAGGAAACCCTATACNAGCTCACATTTGGCGGGCTGGCCCCACCCTCTCCTCCCAGTCACTCCTTGTGTACCCTGAGAAGGCAAGGGTGATGGCAGGGATGGAGACTTGCTCCAAATGAGAGGGAAGCACCGCTGTACTTGTCTTTCATCTCGCAGAGGCTTCTTCTGGCGCTTCTTAGTGCTGCACGCACCTCAGGCGCTTGGGGAGACAGGAGGCTTGCTCTCTGCCACGAGACGCTGGCCTGGGTCAGTGTGGCCGATGCTCTGTGCTGTAGACGGTGTCCCCTCCTTCTCATTATGACACAGAGCATCGGCCACAGCCAGCCTGGGCTAGCATCTCGGGGCGGAGAGCAAGTTGCGTCTCCTTAAGCAACCGAGGTATGCACAGCACTAAGAAGCGCCAGAAGAGAGGCAAGTACAGGGGCGCTTCCCTCTAGTTCAGAGCGAGTCTCCATCCCTGCCATCACCCTTACCTTCTCAGGGTACGCGACAGGGAGCCACAGCAGGGGGACAAAAGAGCTCCATACGTCTCTGGGGCCGCAGGTTGCCAACACCCAATCTAGGTGATGAGTCTTCCCTGCCATTGCCTCCACTCTATGGGACATTATTCCCCTGGAGGTCAGACAGACTGCAACTCTCCTGAAAAGACATGGCTCTGCACCCTCACCTGAGAGGCACATAGGCATGGGGCTGGTTAGTCCTTTGAAAGCCCTTCCTTCATCTTTTAATTAATTTTAATCAATTTACCTTTTGAAATTTTTAAAAAATTGTGTTTAAAATACATATACATACACACACATATATACACACATACACATTTGATTAAGATAGGCAGTTTCTAAATATCATATGTAAATACATAAAAAATGAAAACAACTCACCAATTCTTGGTGTTGTAGTATTTACTTCAGAAGGAGCTGAAGTATTGAAGGCTGATATGGGAATCTTCATCTGTATGGCGTTCCTATTGATGGGAGGAGTATATATTCCTGAAGTATTCACAGTAGCCAAAGCAGTCCTTGTGGCTTGTGCAACAGGATGTGCTGTTGTTACAGCTTGCACTGCAAGAGTTGTCCCTATTGAACAGCCAACACTAGCTGGAGAGTTCCTCTGAATGCTTGAACTGGACACTGAAGGGTTGTTTGGTTTTGCTGAATTAATTGATGATAGAGACAAAGAGGTTTTGGTTAGATTGCCAACATTTGATTGGCTTTGGACAGGTATAAATTCAACACTGCCAGATTGCTGATTAGTAACCAAAGTTCCTGTGTGACCTTGCAGGAGTTGAGGCTGAGAGGACATTGCAACAGGTACATGCAGGATTACTGGCAAAGACTGAAGTGAAACAGACATTGGCTGTGTATTCCCACCAGCCACTTGGCTGGTACCAACTACTGTTGCAGTGTTAGCTGTGGGAAGAACAGATGTTGTCAAAGAGCCAGATGTAAGGGATGCAGAAGTAACTGGTGTTTGGGGCTTTGGGTGTCCACTGACTGGTATCTGTGGAGTAGCAAGAGAAGCAGCAGACACTATAAAGAGAAAGTAAAAAAAATGAAAATTGAATTTAAATTACAATTTTGTCATAGCAATCAACACCTTTATTGTACTTTTTATTCATATAAAAGCATAGATTTTATTACTATCTGATGTCATCAAAATAAATAAATATATATATATATATATATATATATATATATATATAT